CCTATCATCTTCAATTTGCCGAAACTTGGCTTTCAGCCCTTTCATTTGCGTTTCCATTTTTAAAACGTACTGGAAATCCCTCTGAGTCCGCAGGTTCAGCACTTCAATGGATTGGGACATATTCTGGACCTGTTGAAGAAGAACACCCTCTAAATGCACGTTTTGTCGCTTTACTGTGTTTGCTGCTGGAGCCGCTAAGTGTCAGGGGGTAAACCGTGCCGATGGCGATGCTCCGGCTGAGCCATTCACACCACACTACGCTTTCAGTTTCGTAACTGCTGACAGCACAAACACCGGAGCACGGCCTAACAGGACTACCGGGAGCAAGACCTGGAAGTCCCCAACTGGGCTAGCTGCTTCGGGGCAGAGCGGGGGATCCTCTCTGCTCCACTGGCAATGGGCTCGGGAAAGGCTGGGGGGCGGTGGGGTCTGTCGCTTGCAGCAGACACTGTCTGTTCTTCAGGGTGTGCCACATCACACGTGTTTCCTCCTGAGCACCTTGGGAGGGATGGCACTGGGATTTGGGGGTTTGGTTGGTATGAAGAGCACAATTTTTATTGGGATAATGGGATTATCAGTGTAAGGAACTCCTGAGACTCCAGAGCTGAGCTGGGGTGTGCCCATCGCCAGATAGGTGTGTGCTCGCTGTTCTGTGTGTAGATATAAAATTGGAAATTTTATCCAATCATCTCATTGGTAGAAACCCACATTTTTTTACAGATGAAAAGTAGCGAACGTTCGGGGAAGTTTTGTCGAGCAGTGACTTTGTAGCACGGCGAGCACTGACCGCAACGGGGCAGGAATAACTGTCATCTGGAGCACATCATATGTATTTTTCACAGCATGAATTCTAAAAGCAATGCTTTTGCTAGTCACAAAAATGACACGTTTTGCAAGTGCCGTTATTCTGTTTCAGTAAGTGGTTTGTTTTCCCAAAGCATGAAAAAACAGGCTGCTCTAAACATGTTGGGCACCATGCTGATGTTTGGCTCAAGCGACAAAACCCCAAATTCTCCCTCCCTAATCTAAGACAAACCCAGCAGCGTTCCCATTGTCTGCAAGAGTACGCGATATCTGAACCAATTATTCATGCTTGAGACTAATACGCTGTGACCCACGGAATGTGTGCCTTCAGGAAATACCTCTAAAATGCTTTTAAAAACAGTACTTGTTGCCTGTTGCACAGGTGCTGCTGCAGTTCTTAGAAAGTATTTCTAACAAAAGAAGTAACGTTTCTTTTGTCTTTGCTGTGCAATTGTTGAAAGCAAGGACATGAAGGCCTGCAGGTCTGGGAAGAACCCAGGGGGATGCAGAACAACAGTTTGCGTTTTCCTGGTTGCAGTGTTTTTGCAGTTCTTGATCCAAAATAGCACTTCACTGGTTTTACTATACATGTGATAGTGGGATGTACTAGTATCATGGAATCCCAGAATGGTTTGGGTGGGAAGGGACCCCAAAGCCCACCCAGTCCCACCCCTTGCCATGGGCAGGGACACCTTTCACTAGACCAGGTTGCTCCAAGCCTCATCCAGCCTGGCCTTGAAGAATTAAGAATGGGGTTGTTTGGGGGAAAATTGCAGCACCAGAGAATGAATAAATAGTATACTTGGAGGAAAGAGCTGATGAAGGAAAACTAGAGCTGTTTCTCCTCTGCATAGCCTGCATCGCAGACACTGTACCGCCTGTACCACCTCCTCTGCTGGCAAGAGACAAGGAATGACCTTCCAGAGTCTCCTGTGACTGAAGCAAAAGCTGTGGCTGAAATCCCACAGCAACTAGCTGGTTTGAGGTGGGATTTCTGCTGAAAAAACCAGTCCTGTCTGTGTGTCAGGAAGAATTTTGGGATGAGGGAACAAGAGAGGAGACCCAACTTTGGTTTGCTAGAGAAGGGGTCCTTTAAGGAAAACAGACAACGGTGGGAACACGGGCAGGCGGTATGCCCTGAGGAATATTTGTATTGGATAACCCTGCAGTACTCCATTGTGTTACACTTGGGAAGGAGTGGGTTTCTGTGGGAAGTTAGTGATCGGAGGAGGGGGTTGTTGGGAATACTTACCTTCTCCAGCAGCTGTCGGAGCTGCCTGCTTTTGGCATCTCGTGAGCAGAGATTTTGTTCAGGGGCAACAACGGTGCAAATGCAGCGGCCGTCAGGGTCCTGGGCTGAGCTGTAAACTTGCCACCCTTCCTTGGGGCTGATCTGGGTCTGTAACAGCACAGAAACACGGATAAAGGGAGCTGATCTCTGGCTTCCAAACCCGCCACCTCCAAGTATGCCTGTCCGTTTTTGCAGCATGTGTTTGCAGTCAGGTTTCTCCTCGTCAGCTCTCGCTGCTCTCCCAACCAACCAGGCTGGTGGTGTCGCAGCTTTGTCATTCCTTACACCTCTGCCCTGTTCTCTGGGAGTCTGGCACATGTTGTCTCCAGGGTGGATGAGAACATTTTTGTGCTTGTGATTCTGCACAGGCTCATTGATTTAATTCTTTGCAAAGGGATGTCACAGTGTTTCATCAGCAGAGGACAAATGTGTCCTTTCAGCCTGGACGACTTTTACTTCAGACTAATGGAAACAACGAAGACAGAAAAGAACATACTTTTATCTTGACATCCTTCGCTGGGACAGGAATACTCTGGGAATTCCTGATCTGTTCTTTTCTACAGCAACCATCACCGAGAAAGAAAAGCCAAAGCTCACATTTGCTTGCAGACTAAGGCTGCGCTGTGTTTGAAGTTTGTGTGATACCTCCTGCGAGCCCATGCCTGTCTGCGTAACGGGAAGTACGGAAATACGCAGTGTAAGCGTGACAGCAAGCAGTGTAACGAGGGGATTGATGAGGTTCAGGTGCTGGAATTAAAACCAGTGGGCACGAGAAGTAATTATTTTTTTAGTCTGTAATTTAAAGTTAATACTGTGCATTATTCTATTCTAATCTGGTATTGACTACTGGATTTCATAGTGCAGGTGCTAACAGATGCCACTGGAGTAACTGGCCTGGACACAGTCGGAATCAATTACTAGTGGTATGATAAACCTGTACTCAGTGTCAGCACACGGATTATTTCAGCTGGTGAGCTTTAGCACGGATGCTTCACTGGCGGCTCAGTGCAGAGCGAGTTGCAGAGTTCCTCGCCTCGGGAGAGGTGAGCTGTCTATAGGCTGCGTAGGAAAAGGCACAGGCATCTCACAAGGACTCCTCTGATGCCACTGAAGGTAGCAGTGACCTGCTGCGGAGTTATTAGAAAAATTGGGACTGCATTGTTCCCTTGTTGTGCAGGGAAGCCAAAGTGTCATCATGTAGATGACTCTAAGCAGAGGACAGCTGGCCTTGCCTTAGGGTTTGCTGGAAAGGCATATCCAGCATTCCGGGCTAACTTACACTGCCTCTGTGGTGTTCTCTGTCCCATAATTTTCAGGGCAAAGGGGATCTAGTGTAAGATATGGAAAACAATAAAAACTAAACAAAGTTACCTCTGCAGAGACAACTTAAATTGGTTTTGAGCAGCTGTGGGAATGGTAGGAGGGAACACCTGAAGCCTTCTGAGGCTGGTAACCCTCGCCAAGTGTAAGCTCCGTTCGCTCCAGCAGTTTCCGCGAGCCTCTGTAGAACTTTTGCCCGGCAGAGGTGGTGGTGTGCCAGTGTCAGGAAACGGATTTTTTGTTTATAATTCCTTTAGGACAGAAATACCAGTCAGTTGCTGCCTTTAGATTGGCAGCAACTGACTGGTTTCACTGCATTTGGGTAGGCATTCTGCTGCGGAGCATGGATGAGCCACCAGGATCCTGCTTGGGCTGTAGCAAAGCCATGACAACCCAGGCTTTGTTCCTAAGGTACTTAGGTAGCAATGATATCACGAGTGTCTCTATCGGCTTTATCTGAGGGGAAAAAACACCTTTATTGACTTAGCCAATGTTTTCTTGCAGTGTCTGACATATGGTTTGATGTTAAGAAGTACCTGCGGTTTGGGAAGGTACGTCTGCCAGGCCCAACACAAGCACGTGGTCACTGGCTGCCGTGTGGAAAGAACCGCTCATGGAGCCCTCTGGCAACGTAGTCCGAGTTCTTCACGGTGCACTGCGCTGGGGCTGTGAGGGCTCCTTCCTCCCTTGGGGTGGGTAATATGGGTCATCGCAGGGAAAACACGTGTGTGTAGGTGCTTTGCTTTCTTCCCTCTGTTACGTCTTCAGTTTGACATTTAATCCCAACCTCAAGCAGAAATTGCTGTGCCAAACAGGGAAGGAGCTAGAAGGCGTCAAATGCCTACCAAAGCCACAGCCCCCCTTGTTGTTACTAGGGACAGGGCAAAGGGCAGTGCTTACACTTAGTTTGGCTGCTTAAATATAAACAGTATTTTTCAGTTTGTCCTGCAGTTTCAGTCCTGGGACAGGACCAGAGCTGAAAATAGGATGCCCGTTCCTGACCCCACCTCCTCGTACCATGCTTTCCAGGAGGAAATTGGGAGGTTTAGTTCTGTTTTCATAGAATCATAGAATGGTTAGGGTTGGAAGGGACCTTAAAGATCATCTAGTTCCAACCCCCCTGCCATGGGCAGGGACACCTTCCATTAGAGCAGGGTGCTCCAAGCCTCATCCAGCCTGGCCTTGGACACTTCCAGGGATGGGGCATCCACAGCTTCTCTGGGCAACCTGTCTCAGTGCCTCACCACCCTCTCCAGGAAGAACTTCTTCCTGATATCTAATCTAACCCTCCCCACTTTCAATTTAAACCCGTTCCCCCTTGCCCTGTCACTACAGGCCCTTTTCCTGGTACCACACACAGTCTGAGCTGTGTGTGTGCGAGGAGCGACCCGGAGAAGGGTGCGTGCTGCCCTGCTCACTGGACACGCTGCAGGGCGTAACTCGGTGGCAAGTAAATCCCAGTGGTGACCTCAGTGTTACACGGGGCCTGGGGCTCGCACGGTCTCGCTAACATCTGAAGCTTGGGGAAAGGGCGCAGACTGGGGGGCTTGGCTTTGTGCAAGAACCACCCCACGGATTAAGGTTCATTGTTTTCTGTAACTTGGCATGTGTTGCCGTGCTCAGATAATCAGGTTTTCATAATTTCCCCAGCTCTGCTGGCCTTCCTGCTACCCTTCTGGAAGCACAGAATGCATTTGTACCTCTGACTCGGTGTGTGCCAGGAGTGCCTGTGAGCTGCTGCTCAGGAGACGGTTCTCACGGCAGCGACCGGGGGACCAGGGCAGTTCACTGCTCGGAATCTGCATGCGGTTACGTATGTAAACACACTGGGTGTGTATAAATAAGCGTCTGTTTGTGTGTTACAACAACTACTGTGCCTCTCTTAGTTACTCAGGCGCACCTTTAGAGTTGGCTTTAAATGGAACCTTACAACTTGCGGTGTCACATCGGCACAAGAACTAGCCCTGTGTGCTGTAGGGCAGTGAGCATGTTACACCTAAGGGAAACAAAACAGAGCTTTTCCTTGGCTTCTCACTTTGCTGCTGCTCTAAAACACAACCGAATGCTTTCTGACATTAACTAATTTTAAACTAGCAATATTTAAAGTCTAAATGCAATGATTTTTTTGCGGTAATGTTTTGCCTGCATGCATATATTCAGTTAATTAAACTTCAATTAGTAAATGCATCATCTTTAGTTACAAGTAAAAAATGAAATTCTGGGCAGGGTGAGATGCTGTACAAATAGTTAAATTTACATTTTACATGACATACTATTATGTAAACATCCGACTGCAGCAACACAAAGATACACAGAGAAGAGCCGTTTACTAAACATTTACTAAACGTGGCACATCTAGTTGAATTTATGAATACCAGTGTAGTGTTCCCTCTTGTCCAATTAAAGTATTACTTTAATTTTTAGGCTTCCCATGAGTATCGTTTCTGTAGCTCTTCATTAACAGAGGCTGCTGCATACGAGCATCACTGATACAAAGGGTGTTTGTCATTTGTATTGTTCCCCTATCAGCCTTTCTACAACCCTGGTACCCACCCTCCTACTACCAGTCGTATTTTGTCTCTAACAGCTATCTATTTCCTTAACTGCACTCTGATGAAGAAAACCAGGCAAGAGTCAGACCCCTTGCATATTGTATGGAATAGGTAATATATAACATTATTCAAAGAGAAGCCTACTGTCGGATATGGTTTTCTTAATACTGCAACACATTTTTCTGGAACAGTAACACAGGAGAAAGGTCTAGAGAAACGAAAGGACATTGCTGTACTGTTTTAGCACTTCAAGATGAAGACATTTGTTATTAAGTATTTAAGGATGATGTTTTAAAATCTTTCTTTCCTTTTGTAGTAGACCCCAACGTACTCGCCCGTCTGCAGTTCCGTGGTACCCAAAGAAAGGCATGCAGTAAGTGATGACAGGAAGATCAGCAGCTTAAATAGATTTACAAAGAGGCAACAAACTCAATTTGCCAGCCCTTAAATGCTACTTCTGCATCAAGATGGCTTGCAACACATTGCAGCTACTTACTGGAGTATCTGAAGTGGTTATTCTGGTGGGGTTTAGTCCTATCAGAGACGGGAAGGTTTGGGACATCGCACTAGAGATCATTGCCATGGTGCTGAGAGCAGCACCAAGCGCCAGCAGTGGCGGGTTCATCACTGTGGAGGTAATGGGTTTTCACAGGGAGCGATGCTCATCCCGAGCAGGCTGGCAGCGAGCAGCTGACTGCGGCACGCCACGGCCACAGCAGGAGAGAGCGAGCCACCCAGGTTTAATCACCCATCAAAAACACTCCTATCCTTTTCCGCCCTCTCTCTGCTCTTACTAATGAGCACTTACTACTTCCTTATCTGCGGTCCTTTCTGTGCCAATAGTCATCACAGTTTGCAGTGGGAGATGGCATGGGTGAGTGACTGCTTCTTAGGTGCTAGAGAGTCAATTAGCTCACTCAATTATCCCAGCCCTTACAGAGAGTCGCAGGTGTTCCTGTCTGAAACGTAGAAGCCCATTCACAAAGCCAAACAACCCCCCCTTCCCCGGCTTCGGTAGGGATGTGGTCAGGCCTATTCCAAACACGGTGCGAGTCACGGTGGGGGCGGGAGGGGAGAAGGTCAGCTGGCCCTGAAGCCACCCGCGACCACCTGAACCCTCCTGGGCCTGGGGATCTCACGTGGGTTACAAACAGCAGGACTTGCACAGCTCATTGTTACCGTATCGGTTGCTCATCAGGAACAGAAGCAGTAAATATTCACAGTTCGCAGCGTTCCTGTTCTTGACAAGTTTTACACCAGTTACTGCGGCCACCCAGGACTGGCAGACTCCGTGTGTTGTCATGGGCAGCTGGATGGGAGCAGGAGACAAACTGTAGGCTGGTCATGTAACATTTTGAGGCTGCTTTTGGCTCTAATTTGCTGTTAAACCTGTTGTTCTCTAGTGCTGTAGAGTGATCTCCTGGTTCAGTAGCTATCGGTGTTTTGGATAAATTTAGCAAGTGGGGGGGGGAAGGCACTCAGAAGTGTGTAGAAATCATTGTGCTGTTGGGGTAGTTTTACTTTTTTAGAATTACTTTAAGAAGAAAAAATGCTGAGCAAGGCTTTCTAACAGCAATTACTTGAGAGAGAACTTGCTTAGGAGTTTGCGGAGAGACAAGCTGCTGTATTTTCCCAGAGGCAGTTATGGATGATGATTGTTTCTGCATTTGCTTCCAAAAGACTTCATTTTTCTTCTGGAGTTTTGGGGTTTGCATGAAGAAAATCTGCGGTGAAACTGGGGGGTTGCGTTTCTCTAGGAGTGTGTGATCACGAAGGCATTTATTAAAGATAATAAAACCCTGCAAATGGTTTTTCAGCTTCTCAGAGCTCTTACACCAGATTCAGGCTAGACTTTTCCCCATTCCTTCAGCATTATTTCAGTAAATCTCTATGGTTTAATGAAGGCACATGAAAAATTAATTTCTTACAAGGAAATTGAAAAGCATGTTAAGAGCTGTTGTTGTTCTGCACAGAAAAATAAGCGTTTTTCTAGTTTCTCTGTAGGTATAGACATTGCACTGGAAGACCTAAATATGAAAACAATAATCATCAAAATGCCAAACGTTGTAGTTTTATTTGCCTGTAGCGTGTTAATGCACACTTGTTTGCCTGCACTTTGACTTGTCACACACTTTATCTCACTGACATCAAAGCTCCTGGATGAGAGAGCTCACAAGGGCTGTTTTCTCCAGAGAACTTAGAATTCTTTCAGAATACGAATGGTAGTTGATGATGCTGATAGAATATGAAAACATTATTTTTTTTGCTTAGTTCCAAAACCAGTATCCCAGTAAAAAGACGCTGCACTGGATCAGAGGGATGTTAGAAGAGAGCCAACATACAGTAATACTGTTCTTGGTGCAACCTTCCCGCAAACTCTGCTACTTATTTAATATATGTAAAAAAAAGTTACCTCATTCCCAACTCTTTTTTAGAATTCAAACTTGCGTTCACGGGTGAATGGTGGGAAGGCTTTGCCTAAATCCTTGCGTTTTCTGCAGATGGAGATCAAAGTGATTGCATGCTCCTGGCTTGGATATCTTAAATAGCTCCCTCTGAAGCAGAGCAAAGTCAGGAATCTTAAGTCTCACTGCATTTGTAGTTTAGAGGTTAGAAAGTAAGCTCACGCAGAAAAGTGAAAGCTTCCCTGTCCCACTGCTGCTGTTCTATGGGGTACGGTCCTCTGTTTATCAAAATTAGAAACCAGAGATGATGACCATTGTCTCACAGGAGAAAAGTATGGGAGAAGCAGGCATCCATGCATAGCCCAGAAGCAAAGATTTCATTTCCAGAGATAAAGGTTTTGGCCACAAGAAGTTCAATGCAGGCATTTTTCCTTCTAGCTTGAATTCACCAATTAAGAATCACGAAGTCAGTGAGTCTTTAAAGGGCTGCTCAGCAGTGGGATTATGAAGAATAAATTTCACAGGCAAAGCCGGTGTTTTACACAAGCTTTTAGCTCTAATTAATAAAAAAGGGCCAAGATTTTAGTTAATGAAAGCATTTGCATAACTTTTGAGATTTGGTACTAATTTTACAGGGAGATTTAACTAACTCATTAGCAAGTGACAGAGAAATTTAATAGCAGTTTTCTACAAAATGTAGTAATTAATTCCTGCAGCTTGACGAACAGTGACGCAGAAAGTGGAGGAACTACTTCCACAAGGGCAAATTGTAGCTTTGGACACACAACTTGTGCTGGAGCTCCTGAAAAGTGTTTTCAGTCCAAAAAGGTCATTTACAAAGCATGCACACACTCATCTTGGGGGTCAGCAAACCAGAAAAGGAAATTTCAGTCCACACTACTGCAAAGGTCGTGAGGGGAGGGCTCCCACTGAGTATCAGCGTGGACACCGCATTCTGACAGCAAAATCATGTTATTCTTCAGGTCTGATGAAACCTGAACGTCTGCAGAAGGAAAGTTTGAATTAATTTCTGTGATATCACCATATCTTAAAACTGAGATGACTGATCTACAGCCAATTACACAGTTCACCTGGAGCTTGTTTGGATTTCATACATGCTCAAGTTCCAGACTAGCTGGTGCGCTTTTCTGTAATTCAAGAGGAAAAACCCTGAACCAAACAAACCAGGAGTCATATAATACAGCAGAGAAGATAGTGCTCAAGATGCAGATGCATAAACATAGCCCTCTTGCACCCAAACCATTCATATATCCATCCCTCATGTGCTGAAAGTAGCAGAATATCAAAACCTTGGTTGTCAAGACAGAAAAACTGTTGGAATTGTGTTGTCGCTTTTGCTGGAGCTGAGGGTGAACTACTTCAGTCATGGGAAGGTGTTTTGCTGTACGGTTTCCGTGAACCATCACTTGGCATCACAAGCCATAGCAATATCTTTCATAAGCAAACAAAGCCTCATAATTTTGGTGTTCCTAGTGAGCAGAAACACTTCACTTCTCACCTGAAGCCCAGCATGGCCTGGTTAGTGAAACCCTCGGGAGCGCAGTGTGTGCTATGACACAGATCCCAGACGGGCGAAACTCTCTTTTTCAGCATCTTGATAGCAAGGGAGAGGTAGGAAATGATATACAGAAGCCAAGCTTGCACTTTCAAATGTAGCTTGGGAGGAGAAAACTGTGAAGTATTTAACATGTCCAGCAAAATCCACGTGAAAAAAAAAAAAAAGTGGCTGCTTTTTTGTCCGCTCAGATGTTAATCCAGGTGGAGAACACTGGAGATAGCACCTCTGAAGGGAATGATCTTCTTCAAAGATCTGCCTGTGCCACACCTGGAATTTAATTTCCTGCCTTTTGCCCTAAGCTGAGGAAATGATATTAGGGTTATTTTTTGAATTGTATTTAGATCAGCCAGTACTTCCACAATATCCCACAGAGAAATGATCTAACACCACAGTGAAATAGATAGTGTTGTCGGGCACTTCTAAATATAAGGAGGTGGTTGATTGCTGGTGGGCTTAAAATATTGAGTTTTTGAAGTCTACCACAATTATCATGGCCTTCCTTTTGTTACGTAAAGCCAAATAAAATTACCTGGAAGTTGCAGGGGTTCTGCTCGTTGCGGGGTGCAACTGGCCACCCCTCTGCGTGAGCGGTGTAACACGGAGCTAATTACCGCTCAGCTCTCCCCGGCGTTTCACAGCACGACCGGGCACAACTCTGTGCTGAGGTGGTCTTGTGTTAGATCATTCCTCGCCAAGGGCCAGATCTCCTGGCGCTGGACACATTACCCACTACATGTTGGTTTTTAATGCGCCAAGACGTTAAAACCTGCAGAAGTAAGAAGTCTGGAAGACAATGGATATATCTTCGCCAATTTATCCAAGCACTGGTGGTGATAAGGCAGTTAAATGGCAATAAGAAAGCACTAATGTCCATCATTGTTAGCCCTGGAAATCACTTTTAAATTTATAACTAGGATAAAATGATGTAAAGCCTCTATAAAAAGAGATGGTTTGACAGAAATGAGATGCTGAAGAAAATATTGCGGAGGTCAGAAATGGGAAGCTGGAGAAACTTGCATGTCACATGCACTTCACTTCATCGCCTTTTTGCTTGTGATGGCCTAGCAAATCGTTGTTTGTTTTCCTATGAATATAGCACAGTGTCGGTCTGTCACAAATAAGGAGAAAAGTGGTTCCAGATGGAACCCACCTCAGCCAGGGCTTAGGGAAAATGTTTGTCTTTTCTTTGGGCCAGATGGGATGCCACAGGGCTGTTTGCAAGAATTAGGTGTTTTCTTTCTGTAATGTAACATATAATGCAGGAAAAAAACATTCTCTAGCATGAAAACATGGTTGCTGCAGGGAAATGCTGCCTGTGTTCATGTTCCTCCTAAGGTTTCTGGCAATCAAAGTGGAAGAAAAGGGTCAAAGGAGCAAGGAAAGTAGAAATATTAGCGCGTGGCTTCAGTGCGCAGTCAGTGTAACAGGAGAGCGTGCGTTCTGTGTGGGTAGATGGTTACGCGTGATGCTGAACACTCTGGCACTGTCGATAGTAACAAACCCCCATGAGCCCATGATTAGCTGGCTGCAGCTTATCGCCTGTTTTAGACTGTTCAGGACACAGCCCCACAGATCGTGAACCTGAGCAAGGGATGGCCGCTCCGGCTGAGGACGCTTAATAATCCTGTTCTAAATTCTCTC